TTCTTTGCTACTTTCATTGCCCAACAACGTGGATTGGTCGGTAGTGTGATGTCTTGCTTCTTGCAGGTCGGCGTTCCGTCCCCAGCCGTCCAAGTGGTTGGGCGCCATTCCATCCTTCCGTCTAACCCTAAATCCTTATCCTCATAGATTGATTGTTGAAGCTCAAGCCACCCAAGAGGTGGCGCGGGCATGAATAGAACGTAAATGGTAAATTTTTGGAGGGAATGTGATCTTAGGTCGTGAATTATCTCATCCTTTCCAAGTACTATATGTAGTAATGGCCAGATATGATCAGGCCACCAAATACAACCAAGTTCATAGCAACACTCAAACAAACAATATATAAAAGTTTTGAGTCAATAATAATCACAATTAATAGTTGCTTCAAATTTTGAGCAACTTAACCACAAAAATTATCACGCCTATTTCTGACGTTAGGCTTTTTTTTTTTATATACGTTGTTTTATGACAGTGGTTACTTTTTTAATCGATCGGGAACAGTTAGGAGTAAAAAACAAGAAAGAAAATCTGACTATCCTTCGGAAATTACGTAAATATTTTAGAGTCTTTACCTTAAATAATTTAGAATCGTGGATAAGAAGACATGAGTAAAAAAAGAAAATTGCAAAAGAAGCATGATTAGCCTATCTAGGCCATCACTGGCGAGCCTTACTTGCCTTGCGAGCAAGCCGTCGAAGCTCCTCCTTGCGCGCCTTCCTAAGAAAGTGTCGACGCCGTTCCTTTTCTGCCTCACGAGCATGCTGACGCCGCTGTTGCTTGCGTCTTTTTCTAATAAACCGTCGACGCCGTTCACTGCGGATATTGCGAACACGCTGTCTACGTCGCTCCCTGCGTATCTTACGAACGAGCTGTCGACGTCGCTCCCTGCGTGTCTTGCGAACAAGCCATCGACGCCGCGCCATGTGTTGCTCCATGCGTTGCTTCTGAATAAGCCGTCGACATTTTTCTTTGTAGTAGCGTTCTTTCTTCTTTTGTCTAGCTGGGACGCGATGAGAACAATCACCGGCTGGGGCGGGATTATTGACAACACTATCGAACGGCGTTTGAGGATGCACCTTGAGTTGGTCGACGGCTATTAGCTGATTCACTAAGTCAATAGCTTGACGGGTCGCGTGAGCTAACATATTGTTCCCTGGTAGTTGTTTTAGATCCCGTGTCAGCTCTGGGAGGGACAGCTTCTCTCCCGTCAAAGGCATGGGAAGGTCGGGGTCAGCCTTCCGACCCGCCTCTAGGAGCCCTTCCTGCCCCGTCAGCAACTTCACTCCGGCAGGTGCCTGGGATGAGGTATTCCCTCCAGGTGCCTGGGATGAAGTATTCGCTCCAGGTGTCTGGGGTGAGGTATTCCGTCCAGGTGCTTGGAGTAGGGTATTCCCTCCAGGTGCTTGGAGTAGCGTATTCCCTCCAGGTGCCAGGGGTGAGGTATTCCCGCCTGGTGCCAGGGGTGAGGTATTCCCTCCTGGTGCCCGGGATAAGGTATTCCCTCCAGGTGCCTGGGATGAGGTATACCCTCTAGGTGCTTGGGATAGCGTATTCCATCCAGGTTCATGGGATAGCGTATTTCCTCTATGTGGCTGGGGTGAGGTATATTTCGCTCCAGGTGCCTGGGGTGAGGCATTCCCTCCAGGTGCCTGGGGTGAGGCATTCCCTCCAGGTGCCTGGGGTGAGGCATTCCCTCCAGGTGCCTGGGGTGAGGCATTCGTTCCAGGTGCCTGGGGTGAGGCATTCCCTCCAGGTGCCTGGGGTGAGGCATTCCCTCCAGGTGCCTGGGGTGAGGCATTCCCTCCAGGTGCCTGGGGTGAGGCATTCCCTCCAGGTGCCTGGGGTGAGGCATTCCCTCCAGGTGCCTGGGGTGAGGCATTCCCTCCAGGTGCCTGGGGTGAGGCATTCCCTCCAGGTGGCTGGGGTGAGGTACTCGTTCCAGGTGGCTGGGGTGAGGCATTCGCTCCAGATGCCTGTGGCAGCATCCCCCCGGAAAACTTCTGCTTCCCCAGCGTCTCCAGCATGTGACGTTCGGGGTCTACCTTCTGCTCCACATCCTCCACTAGCCCTTTCTCCTCCGCCAGGAGCGAGGACCCTACAGCGCTCCCCAACACTACTAGTTTCAAAACTATTAAGTAGTTTTGCAACATAATTTTGTTGTAGTTGAGAAAATAAATTTAAGTTGGTTACCTTATTAATATAATTTTACGTGTACGAAAACAGACATCAGAGATTCCTGCGAGAGGCGCTGACGGAGTGTGAGGAAGTCACGAGGTCAATGTCTTCGTGGCACTCTGTAGTCTTCAGTTGATCCTCAAAGTTACCGTGTGCGCCACTCAGCAAGGTCTTGAGAGTGTCCACCGGGAGGTGTATTTCAAGAGTGTATATACAAGTTGTCACGAATCATTTCCTCAGTAAGGGCTTCGTAGCTCTTACAGCCTTGGTAGTTGTGATTATAATGGTCGTTTGGTTGTTGATAGTCCTCATAGTCGTTGTGGTTCGAAGTGAGCAAAACACACACCGAGGAAAGCGTTTTTGAGTGAATGGAAACAGTTGCCTCCTAAAGCCTGGTATCTCCCTCGTGGACAGTAACACTCCTCAAGTCAAATGAGGAACCCATGCAATGATTGAAATGACCCAACTCACACATGTGGAGTGACGACGTTTCGGCCGTGGTCCAGAACCGACCAAAATGTAATTTTCATTTCATATCATATATGTGGGTTGGGTTATTTCTTCCAGGACCGTTATTGTGATTTATCGTGTGCATTGGTTAATTTCACAAATGTACATTACACGTGTCACAATTTATATGTTTATTCTGCACACCGCCCCACTGGATGGGGGAGGAAGGACAAACATATCAATTGACACCAGCTCTCCACATATGTCAGTTGCTTAAATTAGAGTCTGAACTTGTGGTTGAACTCAAGCCCATTGTTGATGTGACGATGTGCACTGAATTTTGTAATTAGCTCATCAAGACTGTAACTTGCTTAGCTACATGAATTGTGGGGATTCAGTCCCTGAGCCCATTATGTGCCTCTGTAACCCTTTCCACTATCGCCCACAGGATGGGTATAGGGTGCATAATAAATGAACTAAACTGAAACATATGAACATACAATGCGAACAGCAATACACTTTCTGATCAGAGCACAGTGTCAGCAACAGCTGGCCCAGTAATGGTGATCTAAGTATAACAGCACCATTATATCTATACCTATAAAAAGAATGTTTGCCTGTTCGAGACGCTTGGGCTAGCCTAGCCAAACTTTGCAGGGTGACTGGTGGTAGTTCGGGGATAGTTACAGGCGGGTCGGAATTGATCCCTTGACTCTCCTTTGCACGAAATGGTAAATGATACCAATTTCCAATCTCGCTAAATACCAGACTCAAGCCTCACTAAGATTCATCCAGTATCTTACTTTTCTAAATTATTAAATATTAGCTTGTCGTATGTAGTTTATTTACTGATGAAGACAGTGATGTAGGGGAAATGGTGAAGAGTACAGAAGGTCGTCCAGAGAAGGTGAAGGTGAAGGAAGGTGGTGAAGGAGAGATAAGGTAATAAAGGAGACGGTTGTAGATGGGCCACCCGGCTGTGCCCCGGTAGTGAAGATGATTATAATGAAGACAGTATGTAATAAAGATGGTTGTAGTGGTGAGGATGGTCGTGTGTAGTGTAGTTGGTAACAGTGGTGAAGATAGCGTGTTGTGAAGATAGCGTGTTGTGAAGATAGCGTGTTGTGAAGATGTGGCACTAATTAATGTTTCAAGATTATATTTATTGGAAGATTTATATAGATTTTGCTTTATTCAGTTTTTATAAATGTACAAAATTTTTAAGCTGAAGAAATACATTTAAAGAGTTATACAATTATGTAAACAAATCCTGTTTACCGCCGACCACACTGCTGCATAATTTTTAGGCTATGTTTATTTATACATGTACACTATTTGACTTAATAACTAATTATCACACATATGTTTCTCATTATAACAAAAATATTACAATGAATTGCAATAAAGAATTAAGGTTGGAGTCTTTTATTGCTTGTATACTGACCCGAGTTTTAAGGATCATTGACCTTAACGCTACACGCTCATGATGCAATGGTTTATGAAGTGTTAGTAAGCGACAACAGGCGTGTCGAACAGTAGCGTTGTAATATAATTTACAGTTTACAAAAACAAGTATTCAAAATGATTTAAACTCGCTGTAATTTTTTTATTTTTTGGCATTTCAGACCCTCAACGCGGCGAGGGAGTAGGCTGCCCCGTCAAGCCTCGCCAGCCAGAAACAACAGCATATTTAGCATTCTCAGTCTGCCCTTCCTATTAGACGCTCGGCTTGATATTTCCGCAAGATGGCGACGTTGGTCTCAGGTGTGTTAAGTGTGTCACTGGCGGTGTGTGGCAACGACCTCGAGGTAGGGTAGGGGTGTGTGGTTCTGGGTGTTGGGGAGAGGGTGGGTGGGGGAGGCCATGGAGAATTAGGTGAGGGTGTTAGGGATAGGAGTGAGGGTGTTGGGAAGAGGGGTGAAGATGTTGGGGAGAGGGTTGGGGCAAAGAGGAGTTGGGGGGGGGGGTGGAAATTGGTGAATGTTGATGGTTGTGTTGGGGAGAGAGGTGGGTATGTTAAGGAGTGGGATAGGGGGGGTAACCACCATTTGGTCACCACTTGGTCCGGGAGACATCTCCCGTCACGCAGGGTGCAGTTGCGCCTCCACAGATCTCCAGTATCATCTTTTGATACTGGAATGGCTCGAAAGGGCCACCACATACGGGGCCCGTGCCACCTCTTGGGTGGCTTAATCTTCATCAATCATCAGGGGGGTAACGAGGTAAGATGGGGTTTGGGTATTGGGGAGGCGGGTTGGGGAGTAGGTTGAGGTTCGTTTGGAAGAAAGCTGGGAGGAGGGAGTGGGGCATGGATTGGGTGGGGGAGTGGAGGCTGTGTGGCGGCCGTGGTGGCGTCGGCAGCTTGGCCTGCTGCTTCCTCAGTTGGCTGGCAAAGGTTCAGCCGCGCGGACCAACGTTGGGGCGCTGCTCATTCTTTCGCCAACGTCTGTGAGAGAAACTTGTCTAGATTCCCGCCCCTACTATTATTTTTGCCCATTAATTTGTTACGCATCTATCATTCTTTACTAATTTAAGTCCCAACAATGTACATCATGCGTTCTGTTCTCCTGGTGGCACTTGTAGCCACTATAGTCCAGTCTCAGGGGCAACGACAGAGAAACAGACCACGACAAACGCGACCCGCCAATAATCTACCCGAATCCTCAGCTCCCAATCTCGCCCTCCTACCCCGGGTGGGAGAGGCGTCCGAGTCGTGCCCAAACCCAGGGGAGGAGGTGAGCTTCGAGCTCATCACTGGCTTCGTGTACTCCTCTGCCGACGACATAATCGACTCCAAGATCGGCACGCTGGTTCTTGGGGAGTGCATCGAGTACTGTCGCCTCAACTCCAGGTGCCAAGCACTCAACTTCGAGACGGGGCTCTGCGTGCTCTTCAAGACCGCCGCCGGGGAGAACTCAGGTGAGTGTCTTAAGTGTGAGACTTGTGCGAGAGCGGTGAAGCATTTATGCAGGTGCAATCTGAATAGAAGTGAGCGAAGCTCTGTAGGAGAAAATTTCGAACGTAATTATTTGGGAGACGTGTAAAGTGTTTTCGATGCACAAACGGGTAGTTTGGCTCCTGGATTAACTAGGATTTAGCCAATGTTGATGAGTATAGGCAGGTTTGGCAATGACCTCTCAAGGGTTCAAACTCCAGCCGGCAGAATGAAAGAAAACCCCAGCCCAGAAAACCCCAGCCCAATCTATCATCGGTGGCATTATAAGTAATGGAAGGTTATAGGCGGGTTATAGGAAGGTTATATATTTTTAAATTAACATATAGGTTATATGTAATGAACACATTTTAAAAAGTACTTTTGAAAATTTGTTGATTAACACGAAAGCGCTCATAGTAAGGTATGGTAATTATCAGGAGAGAACAGTATAAGCTATTACCACCGCTCAAGTCATTTCTTGTTTATTTTTTCCTTTCGTGGATATATATATATATATATATATATATATATATATATATATATATATATATATATATATATATATATATATATATATATATACTGTAAATGAAGGGTGTGATAGAATATAAACCTGCATTATTGTGGTCCTATAAGTACCCTGGAATGCATTTATATTATTTTTTACAAGGATATGAGATCCCATATTAACTAGAGGTGATACCTTTGTTCTATAAAAGAGATGCACATGTAAATCTTAATATAATTAGTTTATACGCAACTTTATCATATAGCTAGACAATTAGACAAAAATCTAAATGATGCTAAATCTTGGACATTTCAATTCAGAGACTTCAATGCAACCATAGAAAGTGAACTTGGGTAATATATATATATTATATATACTATATATCGTAACTATCCAAACCTTATATCGTAACTTTATATGTACTATATAAAGCAACAGCTCAAAACTTGAGAGCGCCGAGGTGGTGATTGTTTAGAGGAATCACTCGAAGAATTTTCATCCCAACCCCCACCACCCACTGCCCCCCAGGACACTATCCCCGTCCCAAGACAATACCACCACTACCACCCCTCACTACCACCCCACGACACTGCCACCACCACCACCATCTCCTTAAGGCATTCAGCGGAAGGGGCCAGTTACTCGGACTTCTCTGAGGTCTTCACTTATCTCACTCGACCATCTAACCCCATGACATAATTATCACAGTGTGTAGAGCAGACCATACTCGTGTATATATATAATATACGGTATATATAATATATATATATAGTATATATATATATATATATATATATATATATATATATATATATATATATATATATATATATATACAACTGAAAACTCACACCCCAGAAGTGACTCGAACCCATACTCCCACAACTGGTATGTACAGGGACGCCTTAATCCGCTTGACCATCACGACCGGACATAAGGAAGTGATAGCCGAGGCTATATGAACCACTTCCCCGCCGGCACTCGGATGGTTATCTTGGGCATAGCATTTTATCAAATCACCTCATTCTTTGGGGCACACGTGAGGAACACAAATGCAAACAAGCCTGAATGGTCCCCAGGACTATATACAACTGAAAACTCACACCCCAGAAGTGACTCGAACCCATACTCCCACAACTGGTATGTACAGGGACGCCTTAATCCGCTTGACCATCACGACCGGACATAAGGAAGTGATAGCCGAGGCTATATGAACCACTTCCCCGCCGGCACTCGGATGGTTATCTTGGGCATAGCATTTTATCAAATCACCTCATTCTTTGGGGCACACGTGAGGAACACAAATGCAAACAAGCCTGAATGGTCCCCAGGACTATATACAACTGAAAACTCACACCCCAGAAGTGACTCGAACCCATACTCCCACAACTGGTATGTACAGGGACGCCTTAATCCGCTTGACCATCACGACCGGACATAAGGAAGTGATAGCCGAGGCTATATGAACCACTTCCCCGCCGGCACTCGGATGGTTATCTTGGGCATAGCATTTTATCAAATCACCTCATTCTTTGGGGCACACGTGAGGAACACAAATGCAAACAAGCCTGAATGGTCCCCAGGACTATATACAACTGAAAACTCACACCCCAGAAGTGACTCGAACCCATACTCCCACAACTGGTATGTACAGGGACGCCTTAATCCGCTTGACCATCACGACCGGACATAAGGAAGTGATAGCCGAGGCTATATGAACCACTTCCCCGCCGGCACTCGGATGGTTATCTTGGGCATAGCATTTTATCAAATCACCTCATTCTTTGGGGCACACGTGAGGAACACAAATGCAAACAAGCCTGAATGGTCCCCAGGACTATATACAACTGAAAACTCACACCCCAGAAGTGACTCGAACCCATACTCCCACAACTGGTATGTACAGGGACGCCTTAATCCGCTTGACCATCACGACCGGACATAAGGAAGTGATAGCCGAGGCTATATGAACCACTTCCCCGCCGGCACTCGGATGGTTATCTTGGGCATAGCATTTTATCAAATCACCTCATTCTTTGGGGCACACGTGAGGAACACAAATGCAAACAAGCCTGAATGGTCCCCAGGACTATATACAACTGAAAACTCACACCCCAGAAGTGACTCGAACCCATACTCCCACAACTGGTATGTACAGGGACGCCTTAATCCGCTTGACCATCACGACCGGACATAAGGAAGTGATAGCCGAGGCTATATGAACCACTTCCCCGCCGGCACTCGGATGGTTATCTTGGGCATAGCATTTTATCAAATCACCTCATTCTTTGGGGCACACGTGAGGAACACAAATGCAAACAAGCCTGAATGGTCCCCAGGACTATATACAACTGAAAACTCACACCCCAGAAGTGACTCGAACCCATACTCCCACAACTGGTATGTACAGGGACGCCTTAATCCGCTTGACCATCACGACCGGACATAAGGAAGTGATAGCCGAGGCTATATGAACCACTTCCCCGCCGGCACTCGGATGGTTATCTTGGGCATAGCATTTTATCAAATCACCTCATTCTTTGGGGCACACGTGAGGAACACAAATGCAAACAAGCCTGAATGGTCCCCAGGACTATATACAACTGAAAACTCACACCCCAGAAGTGACTCGAACCCATACTCCCACAACTGGTATGTACAGGGACGCCTTAATCCGCTTGACCATCACGACCGGACATAAGGAAGTGATAGCCGAGGCTATATGAACCACTTCCCCGCCGGCACTCGGATGGTTATCTTGGGCATAGCATTTTATCAAATCACCTCATTCTTTGGGGCACACGTGAGGAACACAAATGCAAACAAGCCTGAATGGTCCCCAGGACTATATACAACTGAAAACTCACACCCCAGAAGTGACTCGAACCCATACTCCCACAACTGGTATGTACAGGGACGCCTTAATCCGCTTGACCATCACGACCGGACATAAGGAAGTGATAGCCGAGGCTATATGAACCACTTCCCCGCCGGCACTCGGATGGTTATCTTGGGCATAGCATTTTATCAAATCACCTCATTCTTTGGGGCACACGTGAGGAACACAAATGCAAACAAGCCTGAATGGTCCCCAGGACTATATACAACTGAAAACTCACACCCCAGAAGTGACTCGAACCCATACTCCCACAACTGGTATGTACAGGGACGCCTTAATCCGCTTGACCATCACGACCGGACATAAGGAAGTGATAGCCGAGGCTATATGAACCACTTCCCCGCCGGCACTCGGATGGTTATCTTGGGCATAGCATTTTATCAAATCACCTCATTCTTTGGGGCACACGTGAGGAACACAAATGCAAACAAGCCTGAATGGTCCCCAGGACTATATACAACTGAAAACTCACACCCCAGAAGTGACTCGAACCCATACTCCCACAACTGGTATGTACAGGGACGCCTTAATCCGCTTGACCATCACGACCGGACATAAGGAAGTGATAGCCGAGGCTATATGAACCACTTCCCCGCCGGCACTCGGATGGTTATCTTGGGCATAGCATTTTATCAAATCACCTCATTCTTTGGGGCACACGTGAGGAACACAAATGCAAACAAGCCTGAATGGTCCCCAGGACTATATACAACTGAAAACTCACACCCCAGAAGTGACTCGAACCCATACTCCCACAACTGGTATGTACAGGGACGCCTTAATCCGCTTGACCATCACGACCGGACATAAGGAAGTGATAGCCGAGGCTATATGAACCACTTCCCCGCCGGCACTCGGATGGTTATCTTGGGCATAGCATTTTATCAAATCACCTCATTCTTTGGGGCACACGTGAGGAACACAAATGCAAACAAGCCTGAATGGTCCCCAGGACTATATACAACTGAAAACTCACACCCCAGAAGTGACTCGAACCCATACTCCCACAACTGGTATGTACAGGGACGCCTTAATCCGCTTGACCATCACGACCGGACATAAGGAAGTGATAGCCGAGGCTATATGAACCACTTCCCCGCCGGCACTCGGATGGTTATCTTGGGCATAGCATTTTATCAAATCACCTCATTCTTTGGGGCACACGTGAGGAACACAAATGCAAACAAGCCTGAATGGTCCCCAGGACTATATACAACTGAAAACTCACACCCCAGAAGTGACTCGAACCCATACTCCCACAACTGGTATGTACAGGGACGCCTTAATCCGCTTGACCATCACGACCGGACATAAGGAAGTGATAGCCGAGGCTATATGAACCACTTCCCCGCCGGCACTCGGATGGTTATCTTGGGCATAGCATTTTATCAAATCACCTCATTCTTTGGGGCACACGTGAGGAACACAAATGCAAACAAGCCTGAATGGTCCCCAGGACTATATACAACTGAAAACTCACACCCCAGAAGTGACTCGAACCCATACTCCCACAACTGGTATGTACAGGGACGCCTTAATCCGCTTGACCATCACGACCGGACATAAGGAAGTGATAG